ACAGGTATCTGTTCTGACAAGAATTGATTAATGTAATTTGAAGGGAGAAAAATAAGCAACTAGAAGGTTATTGCCCTAGAAAATGTCTCAAGTCATCATTCCTAAGCTCCACTAACATCCTTTCGTTATAACATTGATGAGATGCTATAGGAACTTAACTCTTGTTTATATGAATCAGCCTATAATAAAACTGATGTCGCAAGTAGTTTTGCTTAAAGTCACAGAACCTGTCAATGACGTTAAGTGAGGACTTACTGTACTGCTTGTAAATTTGGAATTAAGTTGATTAACAGAAAAAAAGTCTGCAAAAATACACAAAAGAATGAGTTAACATGTAGCTTGTATCTGGGTAGCTGGAACACTGGTAATTTATTTTCTTCTTTATTCTATTCTATTATTTTATAAACTACGAATAGACATTGCTTTTACAATCAGGAATATAAAGGTACTTCTGTTTTAATATAAGGAAATAATTAATCATTCTCTGATTCTGCTCTTTCTAGTAAGAACACTCAAGGGGGATTCAGTTTAATAATCTGCCTGGTGACAAATCAGACATGAAATACAGCAAAAATCTGCTAGACACAATAGATTATATCTTCTAGCCAAGCACTCTGAGAACTCTAAAATCCCACTACACTGCAGAGCTTTGCAAATATTGTTTGAGAGAAGAGCAGAAACCCTCTTCCTCATTGCGACCCGAGGTCCGTGCACTGTCCAGCTGTAGTGCAGCTGCAGGCGCCAGGGCCTCACAACCATCAGTGTCACGGGGGATTCCTCGGAAGAGTGTGATGCTGTTCCCTGGGTTAAATCACAGCTCAGAGCGAGGTGTTACTTCGTTAGTGACAGGTGTATCCAAAAAAAAGAGCACACGAATAATTTCTAAAAAACAACAGCCTGGAAATTAGAATAAGTTGATAAACTATTTGTGCTACGACTGATAGCTCTTGGTAATAAGCAGCTTTACATATGGATGGCTGAGTTTATTTGGAGACTCACAGGGAATATCATGTGAAATTTTTGCTTTATATATGAATGTATATTACCATATCATACATCATTCCTATTTATACAATTAGTGTGTGTGCAGATAATGAAAATTAATTTTGATGATGCCGTGAGCAGAACCTAACTGTGAAACATGTTACAAATAATCATATCACGCATTCTAATAGAATTGACTTCAAAACTATGCCAATGGTTCTCCAATGACTATAGGAGCTAAACATATATATTCATGACAGTATACATCACTCTTAATATCCCAACTTTTTTGAGGGCCTCCAAACATAATAAATAGAATAACTTTAAAGAGATTTCCAAAATTTAAACTCTGGCACTAGAAAGGTAGTAAAAGCCAAACTTGCACAGTTTCTCAAGAAGAATAAAAATGAATGGTATATTTTTCCATCCTAAGTCAACATTTTTAGATTATTATTAAAGCATGAAAATAGGTGCAAGAAAATCTCAGTAAACTAGACCTATTTGCGAATAAGGTTTTGTTTGTTTGCTTCAATTTTCTGGTTAATTGACAGCGGGAAAATGCTTTCTGTTGAAGATCTTTCCAAAGCAGTTTCTTTTCCTAGTTATGAAACTTTTAACCATTCCATTGATTCAGCAGGTCAGGATCATCAGCTACAACTACCCTCCAGGGTACAGTTATTCTTCACCTTTACGAAACTAGAGCTATCTTGTTTTATGAACCTTTATCTTTGAAAAAGGGAAGTGGGATGTGCAAGGTAGGGTGGGGTGTGTGGGAGGGGGTGGAGTGGGGGTGGGGAAGTAGAAAGGGCAGTTAATTTAGGGTTCTGGTTAGTTGGGTTCCATCACTAAACATGAATTCAGTGTCTGGACCAGGCACAACTGATTGCTGGGAAACACGAGAGCCGCAAGGGGAGCTCCCAGGGTCTGTCTTTGTTGGTATTCTCTACCTCATGTCATCCTGTCTGGGTGACTGTTGGTTTGCTGGTCTTCTCTAGGAGAAACATGCTCACCCAAGGATATGCTTAGAAGGGAGGGAGAGGGAGAGAGGGTGAGAGAGAGAGAGAGAGAGAGAGAGAGAGGTGAGAAAAACATCAATCGGTTACATTCTGCACATGCCCCATTGGGACACTGAACACACAACCCAGGCATGTGCCCTGACTAGGCATTGAACCAGCAGCCTTTTGGTGCACAAGACGATGCTCAACCAACTGAGCCACTCTGGCCAGGCAAGGCCTGAATTAATTTTAATTAGATTCTAGATCCATGTGGTTTCAACTTAAATGTAGGGTGCTGGTAGCTCCACGTGGATATCAAGGAGAAATAAGCACTTACTTTTCTCTCTCTGAGACTTGCTGACCTGGATTTTTCTTTTTTGATAAAAACCTTTAGTTTCAGTTTTTTTTTGGTATCTTAGCAGCTCCCTATGGCAACTGACTATAAAACCTTTGTTGCCCTGCCCTGTCGCCATCACCCAAGTGTAGAGCATAGAGAGTTTATTTCTAAGCAGGTTTGGAAAGTCTGGGGTGGGAATGAGGGGACTAATTTGTATATATTGTACTTTAACTTCGATGGCCTTATTTTATCTCTTTTTTGGTTTTACCTTTTCCTTAAACCAAATATACATACATATATACACATGCATATATATGTATATAATGTATACTTACATGCATAGAGGTGAAAATTAGAGAAAGTGAGATAGTTTAGCACAGGTTTCTGAGCTCTTTGAAACTATGCACCCTGATGCATTGCTTTTCAGAAATTACAAGCCCTGGTCAGGCCCAGGGGCAGTGCCTGAAAGTAGTAAAGGAAACCTGGAGAGAAAACAGGGCACTAAGTCCCATGATCATTCTCCAAGGCTGGCTTTCTGGAAACATAGAATAAAAAGCAAAATCCCAAGAATGTGAGGCCCGAATGGACTACCATAATAGGTCCAATACGGCATATTCCTCACAGAACTGCAGGTTACTCACTAAATTCTTCTGTGATTTGTGGATACAGTAATACACAATACTACGGAGATCTGGTGATGGGGGATACATTATACCTCATCTGGAGTGTTACAATAATCTGAGGCCCTGGTGGAGGAGAACTATGTGCTATTAGTTTTCCTTCAGAGTTTTCATTTTCTATTAGGCTTCCATCTGGTTCCTGCCTCCATGTCCACCTGCCCTGATCAAGACCCGTAGGTGCCACAGCTATGCACACGGCTCTGAAACTGCGTGCATGCAGGGCACTGTACCTGGGCTTTTCGTGAGCACACGGTGCCGATGACCTGGAGCAGCCCCACTGCAGGAGCACAGGTGGGTGCCTGTCCTTCCGTCCCAGTGAAGCCGCTTTCCTATGCGTGTAAAGGGCGTTTTGGTAATGATTACAGTTGTTTGTGGCATTTCCCCTGGTAGTTTCTGAAAAATGTGTCCTTGCCCTGATAGGAAACCCATTCCTAAGGCTGAAGTAGAACATTCTGCAGACCCCTCCCCCTGGCCCAAAAGCAGGCCAGGGAGAGTATGAGGCTGCAGAGGTGTGAGGGACAGGGTCACCCATTCTTACTCCAGCCTCACAAGCTGTAACATCCCTGTTAAGCACTAGCTATTCTGCACAGCATTCTCGGAAGGAAAGTGATCTCGGGTATTCAGTTTCTTTTCATTGTGTTACAATTTACATAACATAACATTTACCATTTTAGCAATTTTTGAAAGCACAGCTCGATGGTACTAAGCACATTCACATCGTTGTGCAACCGTCCCCACCATCCATCTCCAGAGCCTTCTCATCTTCCCAAAGTGAAACTCTGTCCCCATCAAACACTCACTTCCCATTCTCCTCTCTTCCTAGCCCCGGGCAACCATCATTCTACTTCCGGACTATGGATCTGACTATTCTAGGCACCTCATATTAGTGGGGATCAGACAGTATTTGTCCTTTGGTGTCTGGCTTATTTCACTTAGTATCCTCACGGTTCATCCATGTTTAGTAAGTGTCAGAATTTCATCTTTTTAAGGCTCAATAATATCCCACAGTATACATGTACCATGTTTTCTTTATCTACTCATCGGTTGATAAGCAGGTGGGTTTCTTCCACCTATGGACTATTGTGACTAATTCTGCTATAAACATGGGTGTGCTAATATCTTTACATCCATGCTTTCACTTCTTTTAGCTATATACCCAGAAGTGGAGTGTTTGGACATGTGGTAATTCTAGGTTTAACTTTTTGAGGAATTGTCATACTATTTGGTATTCAGTTATTTTTTTTATTAATAAACTTTGTGCTAGTACAGTTCTAGGTTAGTGAGGGGAAAGCACAGATGGTCCCCACACATGCACGGAATTGTACAGAGTTGCTCTAAGCAGTAAGTGACTCGAGTGCTTCACCTGAGGGCACAGGGAGTGACCCCGGCAGGTGAGCCAGGTCCTGGCAGGTGAGCCAGATCCCGCGGGAGCTTGAAGCCCCGATTACCTGAGGCGTCACAGGAGCCTGCCTCCTTCCCTGGCCTGTGGATATGAAAGTGACATAAAAGATCGTCCTACAGGAACACCTGATGTGTAAATGTGGACACTCACAGATGCCAAAGCAGGAGAGGGATTAACACGCACCCGATCCAACCCACTTCTTCCCCTTCATGAAGACGCTTTATAAACTGAAAATCTTCTTTTCCAAGAATGCTGTGCGGAGTAACTAATTAGTGCTTGACAGGAATGCCTAAGTTTGTGAGGATAGAGTGATAATAGATAATCACATCACTCACAACTCCGTCAGCCCTAATATCAGCCCTGTTATCCACTGGACATCCCCCTGAAGATAGACATGCACCAAAATCTATCTCCAGGATTTGGGGCTCTGCTAATGTTTAGGCAATAGGTATGGCTCCTTCATTATATAGCTGCTTGGGAATTGCTTTATTAACAGTGATTACTCGCAATTCAACAGAATTATAATAAAAGCACTGTAAGTGATACTTAGAATGATAACATTTACCATTCCCAAGGAACATGCTATAAATCACAGTGCTTACCCACAGATTTAAAATGCCCAGAAGTTTCTTAAACATTTCCTGGACAGCATCACTCAGGTTATTTTTACACTTACATCGACTTAATGAAACAAAAGAAAAAAATGTTTAAAATTCAAATGTAGGAAATGCATATAGATTCACACACATATGTACATTTACATGAATGCTCACATATACCCAAGGGTGTATTTGTTAAGCCAAGCTCTTCTACTTTTTTTTTATTAACATGGAATCAATTATTCTTGTCCTCAGCGGAGAGGTGACTAGCTTGTTCCAAAGCTGAAACAATAACATGCTGATCCTCAAAACTTGTCAGTCCTGAGAACTCATAACCCCACGCACCTGAACTAGCTGACTTGGTCTTTTTTTTTTTTTTTTTAGCGGTGCCTCCCTTCTCACATGTGTTTTGTAAAATCAAGTCACATTTAAGTGTATGGGGTGGGGGGAATATGATGATGATTCACTTTGAAAGGAAGCAATATATTCCCCACCCCAGGAAAACAAATGTTTTCCTTTTGACAGTATCTAAAAGTACGACAAACAAACTTACAAAAGGACAGTCATTGGCATTTCAGCCCAATAACAACACTGTTAGTCAGCCCTGTAGAAAACCAAGGGCAATGAATGATTAGTACTAGCCACCCTGGAGTAAAATGGCCAGAATGAGGACATCGACTTGGCTGGACTTCAAATTTGACGGTGATGAGAAGACCTCAAAATTATCTTTTCTGAGAGATGAATCAATGTGTTAAGTGGAACACTAAACATCTTAATTAATTGAGTGATGTTTAGTACCGAATATTTAATGCACTTTTCTACCTTTAACATCCCTCCTTTCAGTCACATGAACTAAAGCAGTGATTCTCAACATGGGGTCCCCAGACCTTTCTCAACATCGCCTGGACACTTGTTAGGAAAGCAAATTCCCAGCCCACCACAGATCTACTGAATCAGAAATTCTGGGCACACGGCCCAGCAAGCTGTACTGTAACAAGCCCTCCAGATGATTCTGATGCAAGCTCAAGCTTAAGAACCATAAATTAAGGCACCACCAATATGCAGAATCTAACCCCAGCTCCCTTCCTCAATTCCAATTCTCAAGATGCTTTTGTTAAAAGAAAAGTCGTTCATGTGCATTTAGGCTATTTGTGATGATCACCTCAGAAAATTTTTACCATTGTTTTTGTTTGAGAAAAGAAACCTTAATCAAAACTTACATGTAATCTTTCCAGGTCCTGTGCTGGCTTCGAGTCTTAGGATGCAGGGAACTGGGCGAAGGGAGAGATGAGAAGGCTACAGCAATCCATTCAGACATGGACCCCAAAGCTCTGTGGGGCAGCCTTGTGACAGGTCAGTGAGTGTCCACCTGATTGGGGAGGAAGAGCTGTCCGTTAGCGAGTGAGCCTTGCCTGTTAACATTCCCCATCCCTCCTGCTATCCTGTCCCTCCCCGCCCCTGATTTATGACCTCTAAGCTAACTTACTGTGCCCCTGGCTGTGTGCTCCCAGACCCATCCACAACAACAGAACATGATAAACAGCCCATGATATTCATGCCTGGGCTCAACCCGGTGGAAGCCGATTCCCTGAGTACTTTCTCCAGGTGAGCATCCCTCACTGGGTGCTGTCCTGAGCCTAAAGGCAGCTTGGGGACAGGTCAGTTTCTCCTTTACTTCATCTCATGAATGTTTTCTTTCAACAAATCAAACACTTTGTTTAAAAGACGCATGTGGCTGCAGTAACAAGGCAACCCAGGAAACAAATGATAAATTCGAGAATTCTGACTGAAATGAGATGATTCTCTGATGCCTCACTATGTTCATTTTTGAACAAATATTCCTTCTTTTTTCTGATGCTAAATTAATGCATGCCTATTAGAGAATACGTGGAAGATATGGAAAAGCATAAAGATCAGCGGTAACCTTGACCATGATAAATCACTGATGATGTTTTGTTATGTAGGTCCATGACCCCTTCAACTGAAACTCCTGGGCCAGATATATCTCAGCATTCAGATCTGTTTGAATTTTGGAGAGTATTATGATGAACTACCACCTATCACATAATACCCCATTCAGAGTCTGGAGCAGCACTCCACAAACACCTTAAGTATTTCTGTGGCAAAACAGATGCTCAGTCCTATTAAGTCAGATAAAATAGGGCCTCACATTAGTTCAGGTCAGGTTTTTCTACCAAAGAAGTTACCGAAAACCCCTTTGATTTTGGAACCTTTTGGATTCAGAATTGAGAAAAAGGGATTGTGGACCAGTATTCTCTGTTCATATATGCACAAATACTCAGAGTTTTGTTTCTAATTTTTCATTCCATATTATATGAAGGTGAGCTTTTCCTAAAAATTTTCTTTCCCCTTTATATGGATTTAACCCACAGGATAATTGATATAGAGAGCGCCACAATTTTTATAAGCTAATAAAAGAACATTGAAGAGATACTTTTTGTTCTATAGAATGAAATGATTTCACTCTTCCCCTTATCTATAAACACAATTTATTCTTAGTAGGATATAGCATATAGTATAAAATGGCTGAAGTAGAGAGAGAGAAAAAGAGAGATGCCCCAAAATTTCAATTTTATTTTGGAAGTAAGTTAAATGGGTCTTCCCAAAAATTTTATCTAAAAGTAAGGAATGTTTCTATCAAAATTATCAAAAGTCCAAAAGACAAAAGGCTATCAAAAAGTTGGACCATTTCCTTCTCTGTGGCTTCTCTTAACAATTTAAATTTCATTCTGCTATTATTAGGTGTCCAGTGGGTAGAACGGCTTCTAAATGATTTTCCTTTGCCACGATCAGATATTGTCTAAGTATACCAGGACTATAGGATGTGAAAACTAAAGTGGTAATAGAGGAAATGGCCCCTCAAAGAACACACTTTGTTTTTTCCAAAGGATCCAACTGCTGTGGGGGTGGGGGATACAAAGAGTAAACCACCAGTAATAACAGAAATGACTGTCAGAAGCTCTTTAGATACTCAAACTACCCAACTAGCACTGCTAAAGCTAATTACAAATTTGGATTCTCTCATTTTAAAAATATACTTCGAAGCAGCCCACTTCAGTTTTAATGCTGAACCAAAGCCTGTGCAGTTGGCACATTATCAAAGCAAAAGCAAAAAAAAAAGCATTGCTTGAACAAAGTTGCCACTTTCAATGTCACTAAATCTTCAACTGCAAAATACCACAAGCTAAAAACTAGGAATGCCATGTGGTTATGTTATGTTACATTTACACGAGTTTATAGTTTCCCAAGCCCTAGGAGACTTAGACCCCTGCCACTCACAGTTGCTTTGTTCTCTCGGGCAGGCCATTCACTGCCTCTGAGTCTCATACAGTTCATGGGTTCTTGTGAGGATTAAATGAAAACGCAGCTGAGAGAATTTCTGCAAACTATGTTATACACAAAATGTTGGGTATCATTATTCCTTTTACTAACACCTTTGTGAGGCATAAAGAGATCAATCCTCATTCCACAGTTAAGAAAACTGACAACAGGAAGATACAGCAATAAAAACCCAACCACCCCCAAACCAAAAAAAACCAACCCCGAGTCAGGCAATTTGAGTTTTATCTCTGAAGTAGCCAGGAGCTGGCTGAGTGACTCTGTGCCTTGATTTCTGCAGTCATTTGAAGGGGTTGGAGAAAATGATTTTAAGGTCTTCTTGAGGCAGATGGCTCTGGGACTGGGACTTGGCCCTGCGAGTGATGGGATAGGCTTAAGAAAGACCCTTAGGAGGCAGTCCCTCCAGGAGGCCAAGGGCAGCACCCACCATCCGAGGCTGCAAGTGCTGGGGCAGGGCTTTTGGCAGCCTCCTACTCCCAGGGATGGGATAGGTATCAGCTAACGTTTTTGCTTAATTAAGGGAAGTTGGGAGCATCCTATGCAAATGGCCAGGGCTCCTGAGGCAGAGGAAGGAGCCACTGGACGCACTTGAAACAGCAGCTCTTTATTAATGAATACAGATATTTCACTGCTCTACTAACCGGTGTAGCTAAGTAAGTGCATACTACTGGATTATCAGTGTGGCTAACAGCCCCACGACTGTTTGGCTGTCAGTTTCAAAGAGAGAGTCACCTCCGTGGGCCACCCCTTTCTTGGCTGAGCTCCTACAGTGTTGGGGGAGAGATGTAAAAGGGCTACTTTTTGTAGTATGAGGGCGCATCATGCTCACATGGGAATTTCACTTTACAAAGATCGGGGCCACTAACTCAGGCCTTTCTAGTCCCAGTGCTAACATAACCTCCTACGATGAGGAAAAGTTCAGTATCAGCGCTGTTCATCGCGGCAGCCACCAGCCACACCTGGCTGTTGAGCACTTAAAAGGTGTCTAATGGGATGGAGGAACTGAATTTTAAATTCTCATCAACTTAAATGGATTGAAATTCAAATAGCCACGTGTGGTTAGTGGTACCTGATTGGGCAGTGCAGCTCAGTGTAAGCTGCCTCACATACTCGTTTTCTTGGACGTATTTCAGACCCCAGAAGCCCATTGGCCCATAGCCATTCATTCAACAAGTATTTACTGACAAGGCAATGATGAAGAAGAGAGCCACGGATACCTTGTGCTCATGGCATTGTTCAGCTACACTGATGTTCAAAGACATCACAGAACCTTGAAGTGTTTCAGCAGACTGCTCTTAGGAAAAGGTGGGTGAGGTGAGATGGTAATGCTACACCAAGCATGAAAGCGCTTCTTTTTCATTTCTCCATATTTACTGTTACCGAAGCAGGGGAAAGTTTACAAAAGAGATAGTTGAATGGTCACCATTCATTCACTTACAAGTAAAGTAGCATATCCCAGATATGAGAAATCATCTGTAAGTAATTTCCTCTTTCACACACTTAAATTTACTTAAAGAAAAAGTCAGTGGGACCTGCATTCCTAAGCTAAGAAAAAAGTAAATGGCATTTAATTATGGCAATAGTCATAGAAGTATAAGTGGGTCTCCAGCTGCAAGCGGTGGGCAGAGAGGCGTTTATACCAATTAGCTGTGAAGAGATCAGGTTTTCTATCAGGTACTTCTGGTATAAGGCAGGCTGATTGCATTCTCTATCCCCCCAACTCAACTCCTAGCTAAGATTTCCTCAGTGGCTTCCATGGGACCTGATGCGCGGAGCCCTGTTTGCTCTCTCCCCAGGAAATTACAGGTGGCTCTATTTTTTATCTACATCACAGGTCTAATATCAACAACATAGTTTCTAAGAAACATAAGAGTGGTTTGGTTTAGTGCTTTTCTGATTTCCAATATTGCTTCCCATGAATTTCTGTTGTCAATTCTCTTCTATCCTAATCACCTCTTCCTACCTTACTGGGATTTAAAGCAATACAAAGAAAAGAAGACAAATATTCAGAACTGGTTCATACTCTTGTTTGAACCTGAATCCAGGTGTGCCTAAATACAAAAGGACAGTGACATCATGCATATTATCACTTGAGCTGAAAGCTTCACCGAGCAAAACAAGCTGACTTTGCTCAGCATCCCAATAGGTTGTACCTGGATGACAGCAATGAGCCAATCTGACCTCCTGGCTTCAAAATGCCATTCTGGTCCCCCTGCCCAAAGTCACACTACTGGTTTCTAGGGCTAATAAATGACTATTGCACATCTACCTACCTACCTACCTACCTACCTACCTACCTACACACAAACACACACACACACTGCTTTTTTCTCTGGATTGAGTAGAAAGATAAATTACAGTGGTTAGAAAACAAAGTAAGAGTTCAAAATGTAGTTCTAATAATACAAATTGCATTTAGAGACTACCATCTATTAGAAAAGGTCAAATCTCTAATGTTCTTCTGGCCCCATGCTGTATAAAAATGTGGTGACAGCCTCAGTAATAAACATGCTGTGAGTGGCTCTGAGTCCTTATTCATATTCAGAAGCACTAAGTGGAGGAGTCACACACACTTTATGGTCAGAAGGGCTTTCAATTGACGTTAATTTTTTGGAAACTACAGAGATGAAATTTTTAAAAAATCTACATTTCAAACAGAATTTAAATAGCCACTTGTGTAAAGCAGAGACCTCTGAATCATAGTCTTGTGGCTTTTGTGTTTTGTTCTACTGGCATGGAAAGATGATGCAAGGAAACGTGCTTTATTTTTTCTTTCTTTCTTCCTTTCTTTTCCTGCAATAGAGAAAGAAGTGGGGAGGAGATTTGGCCATTTCAGACCGGATGGAGAAAATGAAGATAAACCATCTCTGAAAGTTTCCACTTACACATTTCAGGTATTGGGACCAAGTATTCTAGTGGGAGAACCACAGCTAGAAAGTTCACTTCTTTGATATTTAAGATGTTTAAATTCCCAATGTATAGTGAAGAGCTTGCTCAGATTTTTCACCT